CGCACACAAGTGTGCTACACAACAACGGGACCTACCACTGACAAGACAAGTAGGAATTGCAGTGTAGAGCGAAGTGGAAGCAGCAGCAGCAGCAGCAGTAGCAGCAGCAGTAGCAGTCGCAGTCGCAGTCGCAGTCGCAGTCGCAGTCGCAGTCGAGTCGTCGTCGTCGTCGTCGTCGTCGTCGTCGTGGTCCTAGCCGCGGTCGTGGTTGTCGTATACTGTAGTCCACGTCATTGTGGTAGTTGTAATAGTCGTAATAGTGGTGGTAGTCGTCGTAGTCGTCGTAGTCGTCGTAGTCGTAGTAGCCGTAGTAGTAGGACTGGTAGTGAGCAGATGTTGATGTGATGGTGCTCGTGCTTGTGCTCGTGACTGTGGGTATAATGGTGCTGGCATTGATATTGATGTCGCTGATACAGCTATGTTGCTGCTCGCGTTGCTATTGATGTTCGTGTTCGTGTGTCGCTTGTGCTGTTAAGGTTGCACTTCCACTTCCTCTTAATGCTATCGTACTTGCTGTTGTTGCGAATGCTTGAAATTCGGTGTGTTCCATACTACTCACAAATGTAGGCGGCTGCAACCCCCAAATTGACGCCAACCACACCGCAAGCCCCACTTGAGCAAGACATTCGCCTGGATGCCAATGTCCAGGGCCTGCAGGGCAGGCTTGGACGTGCGTGGTAATATAGAGTTCCGAGTTCGGCATCTGGGATTGTGGTACTTCGGGTTTAGGATGTACAAAGCAGTGGGTACAGGCAAGCGTGTTCAATCGAGAGGTCGAGAAGCATACCCGTGCCGCGCGAGGAGTGTTGCCGGTCTCAACCCTACCTACACTCACCAACCGCCCAGGAGGATCACCCCTGAACTCTAAACCCCAAAACGCCCAAAACCCTAAACCCTGAAACCCTAAACCCCAAAGTCTAAACCCCACAACCCTAGACCCTGAAACCCTAAACCCCAAAGTCTATAAACCCCACAACCATCTAGACCCTGAACTCTAGACCCTGGATCTGCCAAAACAAACGCCTGCGACAGAGAGCTCTCCGGGAGATCAAAAACTGCCAGGGGGATGACCAACAGGTCGTACAGGACGCAGAGAGCCACCTCAGAGCGGGGCCAGTGCTAGCAACAAGCTTCGTAGGCCTTAGGGTTTAGGCTTTGGGTTTAGGGTTTAGGGTTTAGGGTTTAGGGTTTAGGGTTCAGGGCCAGTATACTTCGGAATTATTGAAGTTGTGCTTGCGGCTAGGTCAACACGAAGACCTTCATGAATGCTACCACAGCCACACGAACTGCACAATTGTTTCCACACTGCTGGCCACTACTGCTTGTAGAGGCCAAGCTATTGGAATCGCCGGTCTAAGTTCTGCTACACGAGTGGTGGCATCAAACAAATGGCACAACAAATGAATACTACAAGTACGGCGAACACTGCTTGTGTTTCTACAAACCTAATTTCGCGACGAGGACGAGGTAACTTGATTTCCACCGGCCCTGCAAACCCTAAATTTTGAAAACCCTGAGCCCCGAACCTTAAAAGTTAAAAGCCTTGCGCCTGAACTGCAAACCCCTCCAGGCACCAGGAGGTTCCAAGAAGTGCGGAGGCCGCCACTGGGATGGAGCATGCAGACCCATGCCTTCTGCGGCTGCGTGTCCTGGGCTCATCCAGATTGCTAGGGTTTAGGGTTCAAGGGCCTAGAGTTTGAAAGCTGAAGGTTTTAGGATTCAAGGTCGCCGGGCAGAGCTGCCCTTTGGCTCGTTATGCACTTTGAGTTTGGGGGTCGGTGCCTGAACCATAGCACTAGATTTAGACCTAGGTCTCTTCCAAATAGATCTCAACGAATCCTGCCCCACGCTTGAAGCCTAGGTGACACAGGATTTAAACACAAAAGACAGCCTAATATCCAGCTCAGTTTCCGTGTCGGTGTCAACAGCCACTATGTGTGACTGAGCCGACGACTGGTACGAGGCATCCGCCGAGATGAATTGGGAACGCATAGTGGTGATGACCTTGTCCCGCTTCGTGGGTTCTTTGACGGTACACTGAGTCACAGCGGAGAACGAGGCACGCTGGGAGGGAATCGCTGTAAATTGAAACTCAAGGTTGCGGTGCGAAATTCAAGGATCAACTCACTGCCGCGGACAGGTTTCGATGAGAAGACTTGATCCTCGACTTTTAATCATCACAACTGATGTTCCAAACCATGTGGCTCAACAAACCCTCACGAACCCGTTCCTGGGCAATCTTTAACCTTCGATATGTGTTTTCTTTGGCCCACTGGCCTCCTTCAACCGAGCGCTGAGCCTACTTAAGAGGCCCCGGAGGTGGCAAATTGTTTTTCTATGCATGCGTGGACCCGTAGATCACTGATTGACAAACACCTGTCCGAAGGACCCAAACAGTGGAAGTCCTTTTGATATTGACTAGCTTGAAGTGCCGGACATAGAGGCTCTCAGCATGCATGTATGGTTTATTTCGAGGCCGACGTTGTCCGTGTTGCTGCTTGCAGAAAAGCTTTGCATGGGCTCTAACGTGCGGTGTTTGGCCGAAGGATACTCAAAAAGCAGAAGGCTCAGAGATGTTTACGAACATATATATATATATATATGTTGTATGAACTGATAAACGTGAACCAAACGGAGAGCGTGGAAGGCTTCTGACAAATAGATTAGGACTCCCGTTGCGAGCAACTGACATAGTCAGTAGGACGATTCTACAGATTTTTCTGAGTGCCAATATTTTTTTACAAGTCTGACGAGATGAAGCCCAGAAACCCTCCCGGCCCCCAACGTCTGGCCTTCTTCTCCAGTCGGGTTTGCCAGCAGTCGTGGCAGTGCAGTTGAAGGCTTGCCACATCGACATCATTGTCTCCACTTCCTAAACCATGCAGATCACCTGGCCCCGCGTGTTTCCGAGATAGGGTTTAACACGAGCAGTTAACACAACTCATCTCGAGCGACGGGCTTGCTTACACCCTACAATCCACACCACACGCTTTCTGGGTTCCTGCATTGCACAAGCCATCACACTAGAACAAAGACCACAAAATACATCTGCAAACCAAGCTGAGCTGCGCAGTGTCTGGACGAAGCTTCTATGAGCAACATTTGCAGGTTTCTCACTGGAACTGTCTGGAGTTACCGACTGGCAGAGAATCGGATCTAGTGGTGGAGCAGGTGGAAGCTCTTGTGTGGGGGGTGGCTTCGGTGGGTGGACCACCGTAACCTCCAGTGACGGCCTTCGGGCCTCCCTCTTGACACTTTGCGAGCGTCCCTTCCTTCCACGATGAATCGAGTTGCTTCTTTCAGTCCAACTGATTCGTCCGGGAGCAACTGAACTGGTGGCTACGTCCGTCTCGTAACAGTCGGCCAGCATACGATGAAGCTCCCAGAAAGTGTATCGGCCTCTTGTAGGCGACGCATCCGTGAACTCCATGTCCGCAAATCTGGGCGGAGACTTGTCGATCCGATCCATGGATGCTATGCGAGGCCTCCGCTACGAAAAGAGTTCTGCTCGCTGGACCACAATGACTTCAGGAACCACGTACATCTGACAAAAAGCAAGAGTTCCCGGTGACATACCCGTCGCAAACTGACATTACACCTCTGTCGCGACGTTTTCCGTTGTGGCTGCTTGGCTCGGTCTAGACCAAAGATATTGTGGATCAGTAACTTTGCATCGTTTCTTTATGTGTCAAACGGGTGTTCATATCAATCTATGTAAACAATTTGGAAATGAGACATATTTCGCTTCATCAACCCAATATGTTTTCGTGAATTGATGATACTGACAGACTCAACTCTCGCATCACTCTTGTTTCTTGGGCTGGGGGCATCGAAATGCCTTGTCCTGGGCTCGGGCACAAGGCGGTTCAAACAGATGTTGTACAACGTTAGCAAGATGTGCAACTTGCACAGAGGGAACTTCCGTGGCACCACTTGTGCAACTTGCTAGGGTGGGCGAGCGGAACAAACACTTTTCTGGATTCCGGACTTATGTGGGGACTTTTCTTTACCCTGCTACCACCCTGTGGAACCGAATCAACGAACATCATACACTCCAAGCACTTCAACTCAAGTGATGCACTGACATGCATTTCTCGTTGAACGGAAAACCTACAAAACTCACACCCTGAATGTTTGTCTTTTAACAACGCCCAGTAATGGGAACCCAAGTTGCAAGGAAGGAAGCTAGAAGCTCTTTCTTGGCTCAAAATTCACAAACTTTAATTCGGGCATCACACACACACACACACCGAAAAACCTCCATATGGTCAGAAAGCGGTTGGTCTTGGGGCACACCCACGCCCCAAAATTTATTGCACAACCCTTTATCAGAAACAAGAAAACGTGAAGAAACAAATCAGATTCGAATCCAGTGCATGTTTGCACCAAGATTTGTTTTCTTGCGCACCTTGGTTGCATCTTGGAACAGTCTCATGATCACCGTAGCAAAAAAAACTATTCAATAAAATTAATGCACTAGAAGCAGCTGTTTGCTGGAACGGGCCTCGTTGATTGCATGCATTCGCAGCACTCAGTCCCTCTTACAAAACCACAAACCCAAACAACAAATAATAAGGTGAAAAAGGCCACTCTCAGATGGCGATTCTGTACAAACCACAGCGACCAGTCTCCAGCGAAAGGAACGGGAGATTGCCCAAAACAAACCAACCCGGCCGCTGTTCCCAACAACAACAACTCCATCACCTTTGTTCACATTGTCGGGCAGACAAACGTCAGAGAGCAAATGTTCCCATTCTTCCGTAATGCGCAGTAAAGCGCGTTTGTTGAAGCGAATTCTCACATGACTGCTGTTCCCGCTCAAGTTTGCTCACTGTCTCCAAAGATGGAGGCCCTTGAAAGCATCCGTGTCCTCCAAAACCAAAGCTTTTGCGGGGAACCAGAAGCTTTTCAAGCTTTCAGGCACCTCTCTTGCAAACAAAAATTGGTGATTTCAAAAAAAGTTTGGTGATTTTTAAACCCTTTTTACAGGCCGCAAAGACGTTTTGATTTTAAGGTCTGCTTGGAAGATACCAGATCCAGCTCTGATTTGCTGGGGCTTGGTTGTAGTTCCGTCTTTTTCGCTTTCGCAAAATGGAGGCATCGGAAGAAGACCGAGAAACTTCGAGACCACAACCA